TGTATGCGTTACAATCTAAATTAGCCAGCATGGGCACCGACTTCAAACAGATACTAGAAGTGCGTATAAAAAATCTCAAACAACAAAAAGCGCGTCGGGATCAATTCGGGCAGTCACCAATTGCTGCTAGCACTGTTCGCTCGAGTACAGCGAAACAGGGCTCCTTACTGTTAAGCGAAGAGAATACGGCCGTAAGCATTGACATGGCCGCAAGTGATACAACACCATTGCTGGGTGCAGTCGGAGGTAGTGGAATACAGACGCAGCAGCAGATTGCATTATATGATGACTCCGATAGTTACGTGCAACAGCGGGCTGAGACTATGCAGAACATTGAATCGACTATTGTCGAGCTAGGCGGTATATTTAAACAATCACCACATATGGTTAAGGAGCAAGAGGAGACTGTGGAGCGTATCGATACAAACATACAAGATGCCGAATTAAACATAGAAGCGACGCATGGTGAAATATTGAAGTACTTCCAAACTGATGATAAAAATCTTCGCAGTACTGATATTCTTTTTCATATTCTTCGTAGTTTTCCTTATATAATAACGAATCTGTTTGTGACACGGCAAGATTTTAACAAGTTCAGATGCGCGGTCTTAAAGTTGTGGGTTTTTAAATACATAAATATATAATATCCTATTCATATACATACATATAAAAAACACTAATGTAATAATGAAATTAAGTCTTATATGCCACGTCAAACAGGATATCTTTTAGAAGCAGACACGTAGGGTTAGACACTAATTCTGCCAATAATAAAATTACTTCACTTAGTTTCACTTTTTTCAAAATTTCTATAAAAAGTAGAGATGATCCTGTGTAATAAAACGAGAACCGATTTATGTAATCATAAATATATAAAGAAAAGTTTAAAACTAAATAAAATAGAAATTGTTATTGGCATTAAGTACATGTGCTTCTTTATTAATAATTCAAATATTATGTTCAAACAAATTTAAGTGAAAGGTATGCAATTTCAAGAAAAAAGCAATTGCTTAGTTTTTATGCATACGGCTTAACATTTCGGGTAGGAAGCAGAAGGTCAGTATGTATAAATAAAAAGCTTTATCAGGGGAACGTGCTATATTTTCAAATAACAAATAAATAAAAAATACATCGTAATGAAATGTTGCCGTTTATTGCATGTGATCTGATGCCGGATTCAATTTATAGGTTCTCGTAGGTAGCTCGTTCTCGAAGTCATCAGTGGTGAAGTGTTTTACACAGATGACGCTGGTTCGGGCGTTGAAATCCGTTGGTCTCCGGCAGAACTGGATCCACTTTTCCACCAACTCAATGTCGGCCGGAAAAGTAAAAAAACTGCACCCAGATCCTTTGGCACTAACACTAGCACAATTAACCACTGCACACCTCATTTTTTTCTTTAATTTATAACTTTTTTATAAGTTTTCACAAAAAACAAAACAACGCTCAAAATCTTTCCAATTTGTAAATTTGTAAAGTTGAAATAAACTAAAATGTCACGAACCGGAAAATATAAACAAAAGTATTGTGTGACGTCAGCGAATGGGTGGATGCTGTCAAATCGACGAAGAGAGGGTTAGCGGTCCGCGAATGGCGCGACCTTTATTTTCTGGATCGTGAAAATAATTCAACTTGCAGTGAAAGAGAACAGAAGACTATGCAAGTAAAATGTTTGCTCACGTTTAGTATAAACATATATATGTACATACATACATATTATTAAGCTCTGCAATGCATTCGCCAGCAGGTGTAGCCGTTAGTTTTTCCCGCTAGGTAAAATTATTTTTTAAGTTAAATTGTTTTCTCGCCTACTTAGTGGAATCATTTGGACTTGAGATTCGAAAGGGTGAGCGCGTGTACATATTTACATATAGAAGGCACAAATGTAAGTTAATTTGAATATGTACTTGTGTATATACATATGCACTATGAAATAAATTTTAATAAATATTTCAGCACAACTGTCAGCAACATTGGTTTTTATTTGGAAGGCAGTGCTCGATTTATCTGCAAAAACACGCGAATCAACACATATAGCAGCAGTTAATTTCATTAAAAGAAATTGCGTGTTAGATAAAAATGCTTCAGTTTAAGATAGACTTTAAATATAAAGGAACTTTTCTATTTACAGCTACGGTTACCATCCGTCCTTTATTTTAACCCCCTGTCCTTTATAATTTTTTCAAAATAAAGGACGCCTTTTATCCTTTATTTCTTAAACTGCCCTTTAAATCAGATCTGCATTTTTCAGAGGTACATTTTTAAACACAGAATATGAAAACTAAAAATGTCCCTTATAAAATATAATGAAAACCTTCGCCAGTTCGTTTCGCACTCCACTTATGGGTTTTTATTTAATAGGTAATCTTTTCACAATCTATAGAGCACAGGGAAAGTTGTGCCCAGGATCGTGTTGCACGCTGAATTTCCAGTTCCACTGAAAGAGAACAATAAACCCCCTGCTGCACAGTGGTTCAAAACTGGCATTTAGTGGTCGTAATTCACTGGAACCTTCATTTCTTTCACTTAATTTGATCATTTTTTTTATGAAAGCTTATAATATTTGTAAGACCAGTTAAGCCTAATCTGTAAATTTTTACTTGATTAGATTAAATTTTTTCTGTGCAAAATGCAAAGAGGTGGAAATTTTGAAGAAAATGTATTCTCCTTTTCCAGGTAATAAATGTTACATAGCAAAGACTAGTTAAAAACAAACGAAAAAATTACAACAAAAAAAATGTTTGAAATGTTATAAAAATTTTCACCGAAATAAATTATTTTTTTTTTTGGTTTTTAGTAAAAATTGGTTCAAAAATGAAGACTATGGTGAATTATGAACATTAAATTCCAATTTTGAACCATTGCTTTGGCTTCATTTTTCGGCATCGGTTAATTAAGTGGTAAATATTTTCCTAAATCATTTTGAAAGAAAAATGTCCTTTATTTTAAGTTGGTTAATATGGTCACCGTATTTAAAGCAACAAAATAAAATCTTTATAAGAGCTGTTTTCATTGTAAAGGTTAGCTCAAGCAGCAGCGGCATGTTTGCTCATGTATGGATATACATATATACATTTGTATTTAGTTAACCTACAAACATACCCAGTAGAAATTCTATGCATACGACATCGCCGTTGGTGGCATGAGCTTGCTGCAGTGTATACATGTGTGTGTATGAATTTACTGATTACAAATTGTTAGTAATTTTCCTCAGAGTTTGAGTAACTCCTTTCACTAAATGGCTTTTAGTAACTTTAACGAGACATTAACTTATTTTATTTTATTAATTTTAGTGCACTTTTGACAAAATTTTCTTGCTAAAAAATCTTTTGTTACACAGCTTTATTTTATTCCTTTGATTGTACATGTTAAATTAAAGCTTGTTTTTAAAAAATATTTTTTTACATTATTTTATTCTCAACTAAAATATTTTAATTTCTATAGTGTATACATATGGTTTATCTTATTTTGGAATTGAACTTTTGTTTTAGGAATATGTTACCAATTTTAATGCTAAATGGGAAGATTAAAAAGAATGTCTCTTTTTTGGCACTTTTTTTCTATTTGGCACATTTGGGCACTTTTATGAGGATAGTTGGCGGCCCTGGTCATAAATGCTCGCGAATGTATGTGTATGTATATGTATGCCTAACGCTTTTCTTCCACTTATGTACGTCCACTTGCATTTTTCTGTCTTTCAATAACCCAAAAACGAATAGACTTAAAAATAAAAGTTCCTGCCAAAGTGTCTTTGCGGAAGGGAAATTTAAGCAGTTGATAAATAACCCACAGCAGAAAACACAAAAAGATCGTACAGAGAGATTTGGCACGGTGAGAAACACATTTTGCTTGAGAGATTTGTGTCAGTAAGAAACGAAATAAAAAATAAGTGGAGGGGGTTATTTTCAATCTCTGGTGGAAACTATTCAAAGCACGTGATTTCCGTCATATCAATCGGGTTAGTGCCAAATTTTTGAATTTTTTTAAATATCTAAAATAGGTTTTGTAAATCGCACCGATTTCAAATCGTATGATTCGCAGAACATGGCTTTTACTGAAAATTCGATTTTAATCGATCTTTATCAACGAATTGTGTAAAAACATCGATGTTGTGAAAAGCGATTTTTTTACAGATTTAGTTATCTGATCAAAGTTGAGCAGCTCTAGCCCAGCAAAAAAAAAACGATTACAACAGAAACGAAAGTAGAAACGAGCTAGGCGATGGGAATCGCTTACCCTTTCGCTTCAAGAAGGCATTATTTTAACATGGGTATGTCATTGGCCGTAAGCTCTTACCCGCAGCATTGCCGAATGAAGGGAGAACGCATAGATAAACAGAGTCCAGAACAGCGAACAAAGAATGCCTTACAGAGAAACTAATGTAGAATGCCTAAAGAAGTACATGCTTGTTTATATTAAACTAGCTTATACCCGCGGGTTTCACCCCGCGCTTTTATACAAATAGGAAAAATAATTTAATGATGTTAGATTTTATTTCTGTGCCCGTTTCGTTATAGCTCGTTATTTTTTAAGCGAGTTAAGGTATTAAGGCCGTTTAAAGCTATGAAATTATAAAATCTTGTCTGCGCGCTAGGCATACGAAATATATCAATCCCTCTAAGCTTCCCTTAAAATGTTTCCAGGTATACGACGCGTGAACGTGAAACCTTCTTGGAGGTGCCACGGCGAGTTCTAATATTTCCAACTCAAATTTAGTAACCTGGCCTTGATAAAATACCACTTCTCATTACTGTAGCTAATGCCTCAAGAGAGCTTTAGATTATAAGGTCGAACCCGGCTCCCCCTTTTCCATTTAATGAAATTAGTTCTGTCTTCCACAAACACCTCCAGGGATATGTGGCAAGAAAAAGTAAATTTGTACTGGAAGTGCCAGGCCCCTTTTTCTTATAACCCTAATCTTCTTCCATGAATTTAGAATTGATTTTACATAACCCAGTACCAAGTCCCAGTACTCCACCACGAACACATCTAGAGATAAGCAGTATAAAACAGTAAATTTGTACGGCAGGAACCATGTCCCCTTTTCGAATAACGCAAATCCTTCTCTATGAGTGCCAAGTCCCAGTCCTCTGCAATAAACACCTCCAGAGATATGCAGCATAGAAAAATCAATTTGCATGGGAGTTGCCACTGCACCTCTTCCAATAACTCTAATTTTTCTCCATGAGTATGGTATTAGTTTCACATATGTACATACATACATATGTATTTCCATACCAAGCTTGAGTGCTTTACCCCAAACATTTGAAGAGATATGCAATATGAAACTTTCAGTCAGTATGGGAGGTGCTACGCCTCTTTACCAAAAACGTCCACTTTTCTCCGTGAATATGAACATGATTTCACACAGTGTTGGCAAACTGTTAATCTGGTTAACGATTAAAAATTAACGATTAAAATGTTAATCGCGTTTGACGTTAATCTCTGGCTGCGATTACGTTTAATTAATTTAACACATTAATCGTTAATCCAATTAAAAATAAAATCTGATTAATTTGTCTAGTTTGTCCGAGTTTGAAACCAAACACCAGTTATAGTAATTATTTTGTGTTTTACGCTTATAAAAAGCACGTAATATAAAAAAATAATAATTATTGTTATTAGTAATACATAAACTGGGAACTTTTACAAACCTAGTTTGAAAACGTTGGTTGGTATATATCTTAATGAAAATGCACACCAAATTGCTTAGATTGATGAGGAAACTCGACTTAGCCATACCGGATTAACTTGCTTTGTGTGCACAGGGAAATTCCAGCATAACTTAATTAATCACCAAACCTACTTGATCAAATTAAGAGTAAATGATTAAAAATTAATTTTTTATTCGCGGTTACGATTAACTGTTTAGTCGGATTAAAATTAATCATGTTTAACTGTAATCAGATTGAATTTAATCGAATTAACTAACTAAATAAAACATCAATCGATTAATGCCAACATTAATTTCACATACATATCACTATACCAAGTTTCAGTTCTCTCCCACAAATACTTCCAGAGATATCCTTCCGAAATCCGTAGTAAGTGTACTAAATTTTGTTCTGATCGGAAAGCCGGTTAAGGAAGTAGCCTATTTTTCAATCCAGGTCATAAACCATCCTTGAGCATAATTTCGTTTTCAAACAGGTGGCAATTCTTAAAAAAGTAGCCTATTTTCCAGTCTAGCTCATAAGCTATCTGTGTGCAAACTTTCATACAAATCAGTTCAGTCTTTTCCACGTAATAATTTAATTGAACTTTCCTAACGTGACAACTCTTCAAATAGTAGCCTGTTTTCCAACATTGGTCATAAGCTATCTCTGTGCGAAATGTCATGCAAATCTGTTCAGTCGTTTCCGCGTATTAATTTAGTTAAAACCTTTTTAACAGATGGCAACTCTTCCAAAAAATTAGCCTATTTTCCACTGTAGGTCATAAGCCTATCTGCTTGCAAAATTTGATGCAAATCCGTTCAGACTTTTCCGCGTATTAATTTAATTAAACTTTTTTAGCAGGTGGTAAAAAAGTAGCCTATTTTTCAACCTAGCTCATAAGCAGGGAACGGATTTTATGGAAATTGCCTTTTTTTCTGCTAAAGAGATAGAGTATATTCGATTAAGAATGTCCACGATTTAGCTTTCCCGGATTCCATATATACACATTTGATGTTGCCTTTTTTTGCCTTTTTTAAGATATTTGCCTTTTTTTGCCTTTTTTAAGATATTTGCCTTTTTTGCCTTTTCTACCTTTAAAAAACTAATTATAGCATTTACAATTTTTTTAAGATTAAAAAATATACACATTGCCCATGCGGCTTAAATTGGTGTTGGAAAAATTCAAAGCCGTTTTCTCAGCTAACGAAGGCTTGGAGACAATAAGGGGTGTGGATAAAATTATAAAGGGCGAGGAAAAGGCCCTTATTCCTGATAATATGAACGTTTCAAACGTTCCATACAGCACACATTTAGTATATTCAAGGCTTTTCTTCGCGAAAATCGAATGAAAATGCTGCCAGAAAACTTCAAAATGCATCTTGTGGTTCAATGTTACTACAACTATACAGATTAAAGTTTTATGAGTTAGAAACTCAAAAGGATGAAATAGTCAAAGATTCAAAGTACAAATTTTTCATATAATGAAACTAGTTCATAGTTTTTCTCTTTTTACATGTAATATAAACATTTCTAAAATAAATGTATTTTTTGATTGTTCTTCGTATTTTCTGTCTTTTTGGTGCCTTATTTTGCTTTTTTTGTAATACCTAGTGCCTTTTCCTGCCTTTTTCGCTATTTTGTTTTGCCTTTTTTTGCCTTTTTTGCAACACCTAGTGCTTTTTCCTGCCTTTTTCGCTATTTTATTTTGCCTTTTCCAGCCTATTTCGTTATTTTATTTTGCCTTTTTTATAGGTTTTTAGGTCCTAAAAATCCGTTCCCTGCTCATAAGCTATGTGAAAACTTCCATGCAAATCATTTCACTCATTCGCGTATTAATTAAATTAAACATTTCTAACAGGTGGCAACTCTTAAAAAAAGTAGCCTACTTTCTAACCTAGGTCATAAGCTATCTGTGTGTCAAATCCGTTTAGTCGTTTCCGCGTATTAATTTAATTAAACTTTTTTAACAGGTGGCAACTCTTCCAAAAAATTAGCCTATTTTCCACTGTAGGTCATAAGCTATCTGCTTGCAAAATTGCATGCAAATCCATTCGATCGTTTCCGCGTATTAATTTAATGAAACTTTTTTAACAGGTGGCAACTCTTAAGAAAAGTAGCCTATTTTCCAATCTAGGTCATAAGCTATCTGTGTGCAAATTTTAATGCAAATCCATTCAGCCGTTCCCGCATATTAAATAAATTAAACTTTTTAACAGGTGGCAACTCTTAAAAAAATAGCCTATTAACGAATCCGGCCCATAAGCCATCTGCGTACAAAATTTCATGCAAATCCGTGCAGTCGTTTCCGCGTGATGATTTCCCAAACATCCAAACATACAAACTTTCGCATTTATAATATTAGTAAGATAAGATAGTAAGATTAGTAAGATTAAAAACAGATAATACAGATTGTCTTAAAAGATTAAAATCTTTATAAATCAGTTCTTATACATACTTATGAATTTATTAAGGTATTTAGATTTTACTTAAAAATCGGTATGTACATGCATGCATGCTTAAGTAAGCTTAAAATTGTACTTCCTCACTCTTGTACTTCACTTCATTGACTGACTTCAACTTCGCTGTAAATTGAACAAAGCGAAACATGATTTTTATGCGAGAAAAATTTCCACAGAAAGCAACGGTAGAAAAAAAATGTTTGGATACTCATTACAATTTTCAGCTGACTACGATGCAGCATTCTACTTTTCATTCCCCGAAATGAAACAAAGAGGCGAAATAAAAAAAATATTATAGGACATTCTACTTTGCATTCCCCGAAATGAAGCAAAGAAGCGAATTAAAAAAAAATTATAGGACATTCTACTTTGCATTCCCCGAAATGAAACAAAGAAGCGAAATAAATAAAATATTGTAGGACATTCTACTTTGCATTACCCGCAATGCCTAAAAGAAGCGACAAAATTCGAAGGCATTGCAATGCCTTCTAAAACACGTTACCACTAAAAGCGATTACTGATTTTTTGCTGGGAGTTGTCTGATCAAAGTTGAATACAATTGCGTGGTCGGAAGTAATAAAATAATCCAGTAAACTAGGACAACAGTTCTTAGCGTATCTTGTAGGTACTTACATATTAACGACAGAGAGACCAGCATAAGTGGTAAGGTAACACTTACATATAAACAAAAATTTCATTCCGAAAATCCATAAATCATATCGAAATGAATTCAATGTAGTCCAATACGCATTTTCCGTTCTTAATGTTAACTATTCATTTTGCTAAGAATTCCATAAGCAATACTCAGTTGGCTGATGCAACGACAAGCATTGTGAAATTAGGTTTTAAGTAAACAATTGTAGAGAGAGAAATTATAAATAAGACAAAATCTTGAAAATAAAGTCAGCCTTGGCAATCATCCCTGAGCTTCGGTTGAAGCCAGATTCATTTTCGTTCTTTTTTAAAACTACTTTCCTCACAAAGGATAGGCTTTATGTCCGTGGGGCAAAATGTTGGGGATATACAAGCGTGGGAATTAAAAAAACTGTATACCGAGTTCCTTACACTGGTATATGTATCTTGTTTTTGCAGCTTGCAAATGCGCAATTTATGTTTTTATTACTTAATTTACTTTAATTAAAATGTTTAATTCGGTATCTAGATTTCGATGAAAATATGTAATAATAATAACAAAGAACGTAGATAACAAGAAGGAACAACTCGTTATAATTGTGGCGAAAGTGCGCAACAGGGGCGTGCCTTCTCTTTTGCCCTAGTGCGTTTTTTGATTGGATGAAAAGAGACGGCATGGCCCTATTGCGTACTTTCGCCTCAATTATAACGAGTTGTCCCTTCTTGTTATCTACGTTCTTTGATAATAACAGATTGGCGCTTACACATATACAGTATCGGCCATATCTATAGCACGCCATTTCAAAGTGATATTGTGTGCCACTTATTTATTTATTTTTAAGAATTTTCAATTAAAATTTAGTTCATTCTCAGACAAACCGCATATATCCCAAGTTTAACAATTTGTAGAAAACTTCAAAAAAAGTGCAACAAAATTTCACCTAAATTTCAAACTTTTCTCGGAAGTGTTAGAATTGTTTTTAGCACACAGTTTTTTAGCCCCTGCAATTTTAGTCTGATAATGTGCAAATTTCAAGTGGCTACGAATTACCGTTAATTTTTTAGATTTTTTTTTGTCGGATTGGCTTCCATATAATAAACAAACTCAATTTATTTGTATATAGAAGAAAACCGCAACACCTTTGGCGAAACAAATTCTAAAAAATCAACGGCAACCTTTAGCCACCTCAAACTTGCACATTATCAGACTAAAATTGATTGGGCTATAAAACTGTGTATTCAGAAAAATTCTAACACTTCCGAGAAAAAAGTTTGAAATTTTGTTGCACTTTTCTTGTTAGAGAAAGAACTATATTTTAATTGAAAATTCTTAAAAATAAATAAATAAACATAAGTGGTACACAATATCACTATGAAATGGCGTGCTATAGATGTGACCGATACTGTATGTTAGTGTTTGGAAAAGCAAGCTTCTCCTCCGATTTATGGCGTGCGCCTTAATGTTGTCACCCAAAGCGGAGGGACCTACAGTTTTACGCCGATTCCGAACGGCGATTGTATTTTTATGAGAAGTGTGGAGACCTGTCGATGCTACTAATTGAATCGAGTTTTTATTGATCATTACTATCGTAGAATATTCTGTCATTAAGAAAATATAAAGAGAATTGAAAAGCTGTTGGATACAGGTTTTTTACGTTGTTAATTGAATTTTCAATAAATTTGGCTGAATTGTTTTAACTTATATTTTATACGAAATTGTTGGGTTTCCGGGTTATTAAATTGGCGACAGAGGTAAATTATTAAAGATAGTTAAAAAAAAGAAAGCGAGATTATGCAGATTCATGCATATCTGGTATGTGTATGTGCATATGTATGTAAATACATATGTGTATATATATATATATATATATACCCACCATGCAAAACATGAGAAATAGGCAACAATCGTCAATGGCAACAAATTGGCGACTCACCGATTTATTGCTGTGGTGACAAATCGGCAACATCACTTCATTCATGTCAATTTTGAATAAAAAAGTTCTCGAAAATTCCGAAACTTATGAATATGGCGTCAATAGTATTGGCCTCTTATGCCCAAGGACAAGATTGATAAAATAGGAAGCCTCACAGCGAGAAAATGAATTAATTCCGATTGTAAGTTGCAATTTGGTATACAGAAAAATAAATGAAGTATTAAAAAGAATAAAATTATTCCAAATATCGCCTGAAGCGATAAGAAAAAGACTCATTCAGGCAATAAGAAAACGACTCGCCCAGGCGAGTTGCCTTCGGCGGACGTTTTAGAGCGACCGGTAATAGGAAATCGATTCGATGGCAATATTACCGGCAATAAATTTGTTTCCGAGGGCGACACGTTTTCTTATTGCCGGCAACACAAATTGTTTGGTGGGTATATATATATATATATATATATATATATATATATATATATATATAT